GCAAGGAAAGAAACAAAGGGCTTGGGGTCCAGCAGCAGCTGCTGTAGGAAACATCCCTGTCTTGACTACACTTCAGTTCTCAATTATAATTTTCCTGTCACTATCTTTGATGGAAGTAGCTTCTTTGCTACATACCCTCCAACTGCACATCCGCCTACCTCCACTTCAGCCAGTGTCTCCTGACACTATAGGAGAAACCGCCATTTTCTCTTCTGAAGGAGGAGCTGTGGGTAGGGATCAAGTAGGCCACACTGGGTGGTTTAACAAAAATAGTGTCTCTGTATTTCTGCAGACAAAGGTCTCTCACAGGAATAAGGGTCTGTTTGCATTGTGGGAGAGAGTAAGGATCTATAAATCCACTTAACACCAACTCCAAAAGAAACGCAAACAACAGAAGGCAAGAAAAAAATCTGTCTGAATAAATAAGATCCTGCTGCACCACACATGGGCCCATTCATTTCACATGAAAATGCTCATTCCCAAGTGCTGTACCAGAGCCAACCACACACGGACTTCTGCACACATCCCTCAGTTACAGTTAATCACGTCCATTGCTGGCTTAATTGTGTCCTTCAGGTGGAAGGAGGGTTGGTAGTGCTTTCTACCTATGCCAATGGTGACCTGTCCAGACTCCTCGATCACAAGCCCATAACACCATAACATCATAGCAAATCATAGGAGAGAACAGAAAGCCATTTTCCCTGAGATATATCCACTATGGGAGGTGTGGAGAGGAAAGCCTGGTGGCAGTGGCCAACCTTGTTCCTCCCTATGTGACTTCTAGAAAAATCACTTTTTTTTTCCTTAGAACTGGGACCATCTGAGTGACTTTTCACGATTGTGAAAAGTGATGGTGTATGTCGGAGAGTGAAGTACCAGTGGAGAGCCTTGATGACACCCCACAGCTATTCTGTCTACACAGAACCCATTTTCAGTGAGTTTTGGCATCAGTTCCCAGCTGGGGAACTCTAGGAATCCAGCCCTCTGAAGCTTGCTCCAGGGGAGTGTTACAATGTTACTGGTGTTTAAGACTGGCTTTTACTTTGCAAGACTGTCCTTTGCCACAGAATATTCAACTCTTCTGGCCTCTCTTCACAGTCTTCGTTAGGGTTTCTATTGCTATAATAAAACACCATGACCAAAAGTAACTGGAGATGCAGATGTTTCATCTTATATTTCCAAGTAACAGCCCATCACTGAAGACTGTCAAGGCATGAAGTCATAGAGCAGGAACCTAGAGGCAGAAACTGAAGCACAAGCTGTAAAGGACTTGATTACTGGCTTGTTTCTGTGACTTGCTCAACCTGCCCCATTATACACTATACCACCCAGGACCACCTGCCTAGGAGTGGCACCACCCCTACTGGGCTGAACTTCCTACATCGATAATTACTAAAGAAAATATTTTACAGATTTGCCCACAGGCCAATCTGTAAGGGGCATTTTCTCAATAATGGTTCTCCTCTTCTCAGATAACCTTAGCTTGTATTAAGTTGACAAAAATCTAACCAGGACACCATTGTATAGATTTTGTCCCCAGGCAACCCCAATTCTAAAACTGCTATGTCTGTCCAGATTCCCCTGGGGTATTTCCTAAGAGAACCATAGGCCCAGTGAGAACCAGAAGGGAAGTATTCTTTTCCCAAAGAGAGGGTAAGGATCTTCCAGGAGCAGGGAGTGTTCACAACATTGTCACAGGGGGTAACTCATGTCTCCCATCTATAGTGACCCCAAAATTCCCTTATCACCATAGGCTTTCCTAGAAGAATCTTTTGCATCTTTAGGGCCCTATGAACTCCTTAAGCAAAAAAATTTGACCCAAAAGCTTTACTAATTAATAGACTAGAAGTGGTTCCGTTCCCACAATAGAAGGTCCGATGCCTAAGAAAAGGCATCTGGGACCATCAGGACTTGTTCGGGAGTCTCTCCTACATGGTATTGGGGGTGGGGTTCTGATCCATCCTGCTGGAGCAGACAGTGAACCAGCCGCATTTCAGCATCTGTCCTGACTGTTGTATAATGGTGTTGTAAGGAAAAGGGTCTTGCTTGGAAAAAAATACATGTAACGCATCTGACAAAATGTACTTGAAAGGCTTTCAAACAGGTATGAAAATGCACACATACATAATATATTAGTTCATATCAGCTATATCAATTATATGATTAGCATATGGTATAGCAAAGTAATTAACATATAATAGCAATTATATAGTGGGTATAAATAACATATACTACATAAATGTATAGGTTTTAGAAATTAACAAGTGATGACTTCACCAAGGTAAAACAGTCAAGGAAAATGAGAAAGCAATTTTGCAAAATTCTAAAACTTGTTGACTTGAGATGCTACATTTCACCTCTCAGATGAAAAGCTTTTTAAGTTACGATGTCCAGCATTCATGGCAGTACCTAAGAACTCTGACACCCTAATGGTGGGCACATTAAGTGGTAACTCTCTCCAGACAGTGATTGAGCAGAACATTTCAAAGTCCCTAAAATTATGCAAGCAATTGAACCAAGCAATTGCACTGCTCAAAGCTTAACCTTAAAAAGTATTCCTAAACAAAACTGGACTTGTTACAATTAACATTCACATGGCAGATGAGATTTTTTTTATTCCTTCAGTATTTTGCATACTATAATTATCACATAGAAAACACTCATGTTTAAATAGACCTTACAATGGGGGGGGGAGGGGAAGTATTCCTAGGTACCCTCAAGGGTTTTGTTTTTATCATTGCCCATAATGGTGAAAAGTAAGAACTTAAGTAGCCCACAATAGGAGACTAGTTAAGGGAATACTTCCCATAGAACAGGACACAAAACTATCTATTATTAAATATGAAATTTCCAAACACTATGATAAAACTGTGCCTATGTAAAAAAATATTAGAAAACATAAACTGGGAATATTAACATTTAGCAGCAAATGATAAAATGAGTGAATTTCCTTTTTAAATATTTGTATTTTCTAAAATGTATTAGTATAAAAATATTTAAAAAATATTATTTACTTATTTACTTCTATTTTTAATTTTTATTACTTATAACATGTTCTTGTGGACATGTCATGTAATCCCCAGTGTGCAAAATCCCTGAATATAGGTCCTGAGTCTACATGTCTCCATAAACTCCTCATAAATTAGTTTAATGTCTTGAATGAGTACAACGATTACTGTTTATTGAATTTTTGTCATGTGGCAGACACTGTGCTAAATCATATCATTTAACAGAGTGAAATTTAATAAGCATTTGTTGACAGGGGAGGACGACAGATGAGAGGATGGAAGGGAGGAAGACTCAACAATAGGACCCACATTTGCGGCTCTCCTCTCAAAGAGGCTGGTGCACACTGAGGGCCTTCTGACCACTAGAGGACTGGGCTCTTCCAGACCTTCTTTCCCTAATGGGAAGGAAAGGAGTGAAGGTAGAAGAAGATCACACTAAGATCCTACATCTTAAGGAGACATACCTTTTTTGGAGGATAAGGTCTGATGGGAACTATCAGGTAAAATTTAAAACTTTCTTTTGAAAGTTCTTCTACTGAAGTCAAGAAAATTAAAACTTACGTGACCTTTAAATGGACAGTTTTGACCTTGGGAGCTTTTATTTCATTTCTAAGCACCTTCTCTGAGCACAGACTATTGCTCAGAGTGAAAAGCAAAGAAGCCTTGTCTCCTGAATTTACAGCCAAGTGAGGACTACCCACAGGCTACCACCAGCTGATTCTAGGCTGGCCAGCTCTGGGGTGAACTCTGGGGTCTGCGGTAGGGATGTCTTTCGAGTGGGATGGAAAGTGGAGGAGGGAAACAAGCTAGTGAAGGATTTCTCCATGCTCACTTAGGGGGATGGCATTCCTGGCTGCAAGAACAACCTGGGGAAAGTGTCTGACAGGTGTGATACAGTGTATCTGGTACGTATTTACTCTGTTCCACAAACCCTGGACCACTTCATTAGGAGCACAAGTAACCCAAGATTAGCTCCTCGTCACTGGTCTCTTCATAGCTCCAGCACTTCCCTACTATACCTCCAGTCAGGTGGAGTCAGAAGCAAAATAGGGTATACCCTCATTCTCAAGGACGTTGTGAGGTTAAGATTGAATGCTATGGTCGCTTGAGCGCTCTCTCAAGAACTGGGGAAGAGCACCTGTGTAACTGCTTCAGGCCTGCTGCTTGCCAAAGCTGACATTCCAAAACGAAGCTGCCCCATACCTGTCTCCATCTCCCAGGTGAGCCTATCTCCCAAGAGTACGAAGATACCAGGCCTTGACAAGTCATTTCAAAACAGCAGAAACTCTGTAAAACTATAGCGGACAGACCTCTTCAAATGCAAGTTAACTCTGGGGTTAGAAATCTGAGGATACTTCCAGGCTCTTCTGTCCCACCGTTCACTCCTGGTGAATAGATTGGAACAGAAGAGCAGAAATAACAACATACTCCGGGTTTTTTGTTTTTTGGGTTTTTTTGTTTTGTTTTGTTTTTTGAAACTTTCCAGTGGCGAGATACATATTCCCTCCCTGCCTGCCTGAATCGTGCTTCTGGGAGCTAGGGACTCTAAATAGACCTAGCCGTAGGTCTCCCCGGAGCTCTGACTTGGTGGTCTATGCCTAGATATCAGTTACTCTTTGTTTCTATGTCTGTCCACTTCCTTCGGTCCTTTCTGACTCTCTCTCTTCCTCGTTCTTATCTCCTCCATCTGTCTTCATTCGTCTCTGTCCATCCTCTTCTAGACTTGTTAACAAAACCTCAGCGAGGAAATCGGTGTAATTGAAAACCGATTTCAGCGGGATGCCAGCTAAAGCAATAGAGAAGCAGGGACAAGCCACATCCCGACTCCTCCACCGGCAGGTCACAGTTTCTAGGAGCTCCTTCCAGCCAGCACCCTCCAACCCACATTTCCGTGCCCATCCCCTCCCCGCTTAGAATCCGCCACTGCCATCGCCACCGCCACCGGAGGGTGTGCGAGGACGCCAGGACCGGCCCTGGGTGCAAAGTTCTCACCGATGGTGAAGCTGTACCCGTCGATGCTGAAAGTGGCGCTCCTACATTTCTTGAAGCCCTCCTTCTTGTGGCTGGTGTCCGTCATGACTCCTGCGCCCCGAGTCCTGGCTTGAGCCTGCGCCCAGCCTCCCTCCGCTGCACTGTTACTGCAGACCGCGCTAGGTACAAGCTGCTCACGCCGGCTGCAGGCACCCAGACCTGGGAGCTAACAATCAAGGTTCCTAATGAAACCCCTGTGCCCCTGCCACTGCCCCATCCCGAGCCTGCTGTAGCTGCGACGGCAGGGGGACTGGCAAAGCTGAGTGTAGCTGTGGGCTGGCCCGGGCTGCCGCGCCCCTTCGCGCTCCGCTCTCTGGAGGCTGGGGGAAGTTGGAGGACCCCGAGGGAGTGGCGGGCACTGAAGTCGTGCTTCTTCTAGGTATGTTTTCTCTGACAGAGAGGAGAGCTCCCCCAAAGCACATCAAGAGATGGAGAAGCCAACACCTCAGCCGTGAGACGCCCAAGTTTACTCCAAACAAGGAAGTAGAGCAATTGCCACGCCCACTTCCTCCCACAGTTGTACCCAGACCTAGCCCTAAGCCCTGATAGTAGTACTTCTTAGCAGTCCCTGATCAGAATATAATTACCAAAGTAACTCATTTGTGGGTGAACATTTCTACAGGAAAGCTCTACGACGTGCAATTTAATTTAAACAATCTATATCCAGCCGCTGGCCCAGCTCCTTTAATTTTGAGTTTGTCAAGTGCACTGGATTCCAGTGTTTGTGAAGGTGGAAGAAATCTCAAGGGTCCTATAGCTAAGTCTCTACTGACAGAAAAGGAAACCGGGGCAAAGGAGGACTTGGGACCCAGAAGGCTCACTTTACGACCCCATATCATGTGCCGCTGGGTTTGACAAACATCTAAAAATGATAATGTTTAGCCAGACGCATGCTGGAGATCCACAAAGACCAGAGCTGAGTCCCACACGGGGGCAATCTCCCACACCCAAGGTATAACAAAAGTAAGATTAAGTCCACCTCATTTGCTAAGCAGGAATTTGTCACAATTAACAAATTCTCACCAACATTAAGAGTCAGACAAGCGTGTTGCTAGGTAGTTTCTGTTGACTTTAGAAGACAATAGATTGGGGACCCAATAAACCCCTTGAGCCCAGGCTAATTACACTTTGGAAATTTAGTCTTTCTTGATTCGATGGACTTGTAAAGAAATCAGTTTGTTGTGTCAACAGTAGAGCTGGGACTTGAATGTCAAGATCTCTTAGTGACGTCCTAGAGCCACACTCACTGTGATAGTTTGATGGCAAGACAAATTGATCATAAAGACAATGGGTACCACAAACCTCCTTTTTCATAGAATCGTCCATCTCTTCACCAGAACCAGGGCAGCACCCAAGCCCTACTGGTGCATTCAAGCATCTAATCCTTCATGTGTAGCAGTCATGTCTGGAAGATGGAAGTGTGAAAAAAAGCTCACTGACCTGAATGTGGGATCTAGCTCTGCCATAAGTGAAATGAAGATGTTCAGAATTCCCAGACTCCCTATATGGTTCTTTCAGAGAGGATCAAGTGAGGAAACACGTCAGACCTGGGAACAGCATGGGCATGTGCGCTCAGCAAACACTGAGAAAAAGGTCTTATGCATGACGATAACATGTCTGCTTATTATTGCAGCCGCTAATTTTATAAGAGGATTTTATACATAACATTATATATAGTATATGTAGATATATACATATACACATATACACACGTGTATATATACAAATACACACATATACATACACTATATACAATATATATATATGTATAGTATATAGTGTATGTGTATGTGTATGCACTTTACATAGCAACCACTTAAAATTTCTAATCACCCTCTTTCTCCAGACTTTAAACATTTAAATGAAACATTTTTCTTCTTTTGTGCCAGAGAAGGTCCTGAAGTGAGGATCCTGGACACCCGAGTTAGCATCTCCCATAGTAAATTATCTAGAAAAAAAGAGCCTAATGTGATGGAAATTTTTTCCCTGAGTTAGTAAAATTAAAATTATATTTAATCACACTTAACAGAAAAGCTTCTTGAAATATAATCTATCAAAAATAATAACAATGTGATCATTTATCTATCCCCTAAGTGTGGTAAAAATAACTTACCTGAACATTTAGAACTGTCTAAAAACTCTCTCTCCCCAGAATCGTTCTCTTTCTCTCCCTGGTTTTAGATATAGCACACCTACAGAATTACTAAATTCACTGTCTCAATCCTAAAGCAGCCTTCTCTGTGCGGGGCTCTCACACCAACTAAACCAGACTGAGCTCAATGCTAGCATTGTCTCAATCCTAAAGCAGCCTTCTCTGTGCAGGGCTCTCACACCAACTAAACCAGACAGAGCTCAATGCTAGCGTTACAGAACTCAGGAATGAATGAGTTTGGGTCTGAGAGCAGAAGAAGCATAGCTTGTACTTGCTCTATTACAAGTGCTCCGTCGAGAAATGTGTCACAGCAAGAAAATCAAGCTGAGGCAACCAAGCAAACACAGCGGTCCTCTCTCTTTATTGTTGGAGCAGGTGTCATCAGATGACATCTGAAAGCCAGGACCACCCTGCTCTACTTCTATAAACCCTGCAAGGTAAAGGTGAATGTTACATTTTTAAATAGTTTGGCACGTTAAAAATATAAAGAACTCAATTCTCCCAATTCTCACATACTCTGTAGCCTGTCTTTAGATCCTTTTCTCTGACTGAGCTGCCTTGTCTAGGCTTAGTAAGAAAAGATAAGATGCAACTTCTCCTACAGTAATTTGATATGCTAAGGCTGGCTAGTATCCATAGGAGGCCTCCCCTTCCTTCTTAGAGGAGAAAGGGGGGAGAGAAATAGTAGGGACTGGGAGGAAAGGAGGAAGGGAAAACTGTGATCTGGATATAAAGTAAATATATTAATGAATGAATGAATGAATGAATGAATGAATGAATGAATGAATGAATGAAACAATATATAAAGAATTCAAAAGTTAGAAGTGGTAGTATACACCTGTAATCTCAGCATTCAGAAGACTGAGGTGGAAGGATTGCAAGTTTAAGACTAACATAGAAAAGAAGAGAAAAGAGAAGAAAAGAAAGAAAAGAAAAACCAAGCTCATCTTGAACTAATGACAATCCTCCTGCCTCACCTTCCTAAATGCTGGGACTTACAGATATGTACTATCATGCCCCGGTTGCTCGCTGGTTTTTAATTTTTATATTTCTGGAAAAAGACAAAGCACTACACAGCATTTAGAAACTTTTCTCTGGACTTGCAGAGCTCAGCTTGTTCCCAGGTTTTCTCTACCCCACCCTCAATGCCTTTGCTGTTGGTATTGACCAGGGAGTCAGTATCTTCCACTCCGTCTACTGTGCTCTGAGCAGTGCCCTCCGGCTGACTCTCATACACCCATCTTTAGCCCAGACCACCTTCCAGAGTGGCAGATACCTTGAACCCACTCCAGCAGCTAGAACTCTCTTTCTTCCCATTCCTCCTCCAGAGTTCATTTGGAATACAAGGTAAGGGGAAAGCTTTCAAATACTTGCTCACTCCAGCCCCACCTTTACCACTCCTTTCCAAGCTGTCTACAGGGAGAAGAATCTTACACTTGACTGGATAGAGTTCCAGGTCATTATTTGGCCTAAACTTAGCATGGCAAAAGTCTCTGCTAGGCCAGTCTGGCACCTCTGTGAAAGCTAGAAAGGAGGCCCTTCTTCCCTGGGAAAGCATCCCAACTTTGGGACAAACTGTGAGCTCAGTGACTGGACTCCAGAATAAAGGTTGCACACAATGGTTCTTTATAATGAGCCTGCTCTGGGTCCCTGTCCATAATACTCTCAGAACAGCATCAAAACCACATTCTGACTTCCAATAGTGCCATTCCCGTCCACCCTTCTGTCCACATCAGACATTGTTCTCATAGAGCATCCATGAAGTCCTGTCAGAGCCTCAGTCTATGGGCAGCTGACATCTCCTGGTACCCTTCCTGTGTTCTTCCCTGGGTCCAGGCTACCACTGTCTCTCACAGAAACTGTGACAGTAACTTCTATCTACCCAGTCATCTGGCCTTCCTACTCCAAGCCATTAACCACCCCAGCATTGGGGGAGATCTTTTAAATAAAAAATGTTAGTAATGTCCTTTCCCTGCCTAAAATACAGCAAGAATCCTTCATCACTAACAGCAATTTTTTAGAAACAAAAAAGCCTCTTCCATTGCTCCATGAGGCCCTACAGTATCTTAGGAAAAGATGAAGACTATTTGCAACTTATGCTCTCGCTCAGGGGTGGGAGGCAGAAGATGCTTTTAATGGGAAGTAGAAGCTATCACGAAAGTAGTTGGATGTCAGGGAAGGCAAAGGTATTGTTATGGGTACCTGGCACTTCCTCCCCTGATCTAATGCAAAGGGTTTCCCCACCTGATTCCTGGCTTGTTCAAGGGCTTAGAGTAGACAAACTCCATAAACTCTTCCCACTGCCGACCTCCTCGAGAGGATTTAGATATTGTGTGTTTCCTGGGAACCAGAAGAAAAGGTTCTAGCATCTTATTGAGGACCTCCAGTTTCAGCTCCTTTGTTAGTCTACTCAGCTAGACTCTATAAGCTCTATACCAAGCAGTTCAAAGGGCCTGGGAATCCTTCCCTGGATCCTCTCCAGCTAGCTGGTAGAAGAAGGAGGTGATGGGCCACGTGGAAGGATTTTGAGGTGTAGGTATGAAAGAATCATGTCCCCTACCACCACATTCCCATAACCAGAAATTAGTCATATCACTCCCACGAAACCACAAGTGTTTCTGGGAAATTAAGGTTGGAGGAAAAGGTTTTGTAAACACCTCTCTTGAAACCTTATCCTTTCCATCCTGTCGACTGAATTTGTCTTTTAACTCACCAGGTGGAGTGGTGGAGTGTTGGGAGCCGACTCCTAGCGGAAAGCCATCTCGAGCCATATACCCTGACAAAAGACTTTTTTTCAACAGCCTACAACAGATGAGCACACTCTGATAAACATCTTGTTTTTCTCCCGTATCTTGTTTTGTTGTTTAATGCCCCCAGCTGCAAGGAGCACGTGGTAAAGTGTCTTCAGCTGTGTGCCCCTGCTTGTGCTTATATATACCCAGGATTTCCTTTCAGTAAAAGGGACTTGACCAGACTCTGTCTTGTCTCCATTCTTCGTGCCTTTTGCCCCTCCATCCCCACTCTCTCTCTTGCTAGACCTCGTTGACTGACCCAAATGGGCAGTTACAGTGGGGTTTAACCTAAGGGCTGAGATAATGAACTCACCCCAAGCCAGAGTTTAAACTTTTAGTTCTAAGTACAAGCCCCTAGAACCAAAGCACCTGATGCACATCGTAATATAAGTTGAGCTCTACTTTTTCTTGTCAAAAAAAAAAAGTCTTTTATATGTAGCCT